AAAAAAAAAAATCTCTACGAAACCAATAGTAATGTCAACAGAGGTGGTAGAGGCTCCCTACCTACCTATGGGTAGGGTTAGGTGTGTTGGGGGTTAACCGTTTGGTTCGGATTGGGATTGGGTGACTGTGTGCATCAAAGAAGATGAATTTATTTTTTTCAATTTTTAAATAGAAATTTTTAAAGGTCTTTATGGAGCACGTTTATTAAAGTTTGTGATCTTTGTTATAAATGTTTCAAAGGTTTGAAACTTTCGATGCAAATACTATTAATTATTTATTTATTTATTTCAATAAAGGTTAAAGACCATTTTATCTTTTATAAATTTGGTCAAATTATAGCCAAACGCTTTTGGTAAGCTAAAGGATTTTGAAGGAGATCATCTAGAAGTCCTTCCATTGCACTCGTTTGAAATCCATCATTATTACAAATAAAGGTTTTGATAAAAGCTGGAAAACTTTGAAAGGTTTTGGTATCGTGACTACAATTTTCCATATTTTAATGTACCACAATTCCGCTGAAAAATTACGTATTGAGTTAATTAACATCTAGATGGATTGTAATCACTTTAATGTATTCAACTATGGCTTAAACTCTTACTTTAACGGTTTGCCATGACTAAGGTATATTTTGATTCGGATTCAAGTCTTAGTTATTCAATTTGCTTAAAAAAAGTAAAAGTAAAAGTAAAAAAGGAAAGAAAAATAAAGGAAAAATAAAGATACTAAGATTGTTATACACATGGCATAAGACAGAATTGCCTTTTAAATTAGCATTTTAAAAGTCGGGTCATTTTCGTGAAGTCCTTTTTTGTTCACTATGATTGGTTTTATATTTGATTTATTTTTGGTGGCTATCAAGATTTTTCTTTTTCCCCAAGGGATCAAATTTTCCGTGTGTTAAAGAATCATTATTCTAGGGAAAATTGGCACAAATGATCCCAATTCTTTGCTTATTATTGCATAATTGGTCTAAATTTTTCAAAAGAGACGCAATGGTTCCAACCTTTTCATTCTGGTGCAATTAATCCTTGTTGACTATTTTCGTCCAAAAAAAAAACAGGTTGTTTGACTCGTGGACCCCACATTCTTTTAAGAAAACTAGTATTTGCCTGTGCGATGCACGGAATTGATTATTTTGAAGGTAATATTAATATGTTAAATGAGTGGATTCTCCTTCATTCAATTGTTTGTTACTACATAACAGTTCATAAAATAAATAAAGGAATATGCTAAGTACGCAATTGAAAGCAAGATTTCTACCTGTATGGAAGGGGACAGACTCCCCAACCCAAAACTAAATGCACTATATTTAAGTACAAAGGAAATAGCTGTGGTACTAATTGTTTCCAATGTAACAGAAATGATTTCATTACAAGCAGTCCTCTGTATGTGTTTCCAGAACTTGTATGGGATCCTACATTTGTCCATGGTTTTGGAGAAGGCGAAATGCAGCTTTAAACATAGCTTTCTACCATCCTTGGATCCAAATGCATCTCAAGTATCCTGATGATATAACATATACATGAAAGTAATATAGAAGAAAAGTTCTTTTAACGGCATTCATTGAACTGAAAAGTGAGACAGATGAACTAACTGCATATAAGCATCTGATCTATCAATCTCCACACAATATCATTCAATAGCTTCAC